AAAAAAAAAAAAATCTGCATGCTTTTTATAACTGTCAATTGTTGTCGCTGTTGTCATCATTCTTTGTTGAACTCAGGTCTCTCTTGTAACTGAGTCCTCGAGGCTCAATGGGATTAACCTGTCTAAATAAAGGTTGAATGAATATGTGCATTTAAAAAAAAAAACTTGACCTTTAATTAGAAAAACAAAATCTTCATAATATTTATTAAACTTTATTTAAAAAGGCAAATCCCAAAGAGATCACAACTGTTTTGCAAGCAAGGCCTGGGCCTGAAGGCATGCTTTTGAACTACAGGAGGAAACACAAGGAGAACATGCAAACTCCACACAAAAAGATCCCAGGCCCAAAGCGGAGATTGGTTCCAGGACCTTCTTACTATGAGGCAACAGTGCTAACTACTAAGCCACCGTGCTGCCCAAATATTGGACCAAACGGGAAACAATTCCATCAAATCTGTCTGCTGTTATAAGTGGTTTGACCCAAGCAAAGCTGTGCAAGAGAAGGTCATAAATGAAGATCATCACAAGTGACTGTCACATATTGTTTAAGTTCCTGAACAGGCTACATGTTCCTCCCTGTTCAGGAACACGAAGAACAACCTTCTGTTCTCCAGGATCATGTCATGCAGAGCAGAGTTTCTCTTGGCCGGGGCTCGGGTTCTGTTACATAAGCTTTGGCCTTGCAGTGATGCCTTTTCTGGCAGCGTTTTGTACGGAGTAAGAAGGCCAAAACCCAGTGGTCAACAGGAGAAGCGGAGTTTGTTTTCATTTCAAATAGCATAGCGTGGATGTCGACGAGCCGCCTAAGTCTCAAAACACTAAATGGACTGATGAGTGATTCCACATGTGTCATACAACTGATAAAATCAGCAAAACCTCACAGCTAATTTCACTTTACGACCACAGCAGAATGTCAGAAAACCAGCTGAGGACTCACATCAGTCATAATAACACATTAAACCCATTAACCCCATTCTAAATCACTGAAACACCGAGGGTGCACGCATAC